AGGTCGACCATTTTCTTTATAAATTCTTTAACATAATTGACTATTTGCATGCAAGTATACCTTTCATTTTTGCAATAAAACAAAATTATGGTAGCTATAACGTACTACGTTTGTATACACTACACACAATATGTTCTTTGATTCTTTCGATTTCCTAATATTTTGGTCTCATTGGAGTTCTTTTAATTTATAAAAATATTTGTATTTTAGAAATAGAATTTTATATTTTGGCCTTTATAATGCAACTTGGCAGTTTTACACATTACATAAATGTATATACTTATAACTAAAAATTATTAAATTTTTTTATTGTAGAATAAAGCGCATAATTTTTTGGGTTAAAACTATAATATCGTCGGTATTAAGGAAGAGTCAAGAAACTACTTTTTTAATAGTTTTAAGTTATGTATTATATATATTTATGAAAAACCCTCGTAACTCTAACGTAAGTGTGAAAAATAACGTTCTAAATTTTGCACGTCTTTGCAAATTGACATTATTATGTATACTTTCAAATACGTTTTTCTCGAAACATAGCAGTTTCGTGACTCTTCCATAATACCGGCGATATTTTAAGGCAATCATAATATAATTTGGAACTACATATATGATATATTTTAAGGTAGTCCCTAACTGTATTTTATACTAAAATACATAAAATATGTAAATATGTGTAAAAAATAAATCGTATATATTTATTCAAATTATTTAGTACACTTGAGAAATGTGACAAAATCCTGCTTTTTTCACTTTTATTTATAAGTACGTTATATTTCTGTTCATATACATGCAATTGTACCTGTTCATACATAACAAATATTCACATACATCTACATAATTTTGTATACGTAAACACGTACAGAATATATATAAATATATGTATATACAAATATACGAGTATAATGTAATTTTATATTATTTATTCACTTTAATCGATATTACTTTTATCCTTTTGAAAATAAGTAAGAATCCTTTAAATCAAAAATGGATTTCTTTTTATGTTTATTTTCCTTATATTTATAAGATTAAATGAATACAAATACAGTAGATATAGATATACTGTAAATTCAATATTTGTACGTATCAAGAATAAAATTTATAATGAATACATTAATGGTCAAATAAATTCGATTATTTAATTGAAATTTACATAATTTTAGCAATAAATTATATATAGTTTATACGAATGATATTATAATTTCATATTACAGTTGCATTAAAATATATTTGTGATTTATGTGCATAACATATGCTTGTTTTGTTTATTGTTATTTATTATATAATATGTTACAATTTAATTCAAAAAATTATATTCAGACAGAAATTTACACAATTGTAATTATTTTGTACTAAAATAATGTCTTATACTCTTGTTATAATGTAATATTAATTTTCAAAATAAATTTGAGAACAACATTACTTTTGATATTTTGTGTAAACTATATATGAATCACCAATTTGCTCACTTTCAAATTAAATACGGTTAAGATTGTCATTACGACAGCAGACAAGAAAGTACATGGATATGTTTACAATACTTATTTTTAAGACTAAGTGTTACTTCTCAAAGTTATGATTCTTTGTGGTACATAAGACTATTATTAACCCTTCAAACCCTTACACATATTTTAGATACTCCATTTTTTTTCCTCTTCTTCGATCCTAAAAGAAGCATAGGGTTAGTACATGATATCATAGATAGTCATGTCCCATTTTTGTTGCATCATAGAGTTTAAACTAGGTAGTCGACTAGCCTACCGTAGAGATCTTCCAATAATTCCACAAAGTTATTCATTTTGTTACATTATTCATTTTTTGAAACACAAGCCCTACTTTGAAATATTATATTATTAACAAAGTATCGTACTTATAGATCACAAAATAAATTTATTTATATAATAAGAAAAAATTATATTGAATTTGAACACTATTGAACGATTGAATTAATGGTTTCAAATTTTAAGACCGGTTAATTCTAGGTCGATCAAAATGTTTACGAATTTTTTTGCCTTCTCTATACGATTAATTGCAAATACAATACTTGTATATTTTTATTAAAGCAATTCAAATGGTTTAATTTACTTTTCGTTCTGGATATCGATTAAAATTTATGAAATATGAGAAATTTATATTTAACTTTAATCTGTGAATGTAAATTAAAAATTGAATGGGAAATTTATTTATAGTTGACGTTCAATAACAATACCAAAGATAAATTATAACAAAAAAAAATTAGAATTGCGGTTATTAACCAGTTGATTAAGCATATTTTGTTTATTTAGTAAATTTAAATAAGAGTCATAAGTACAAATATAAAAATTCTATTAAAACTATATATAAATGTGAATAAGCGAATACATTTTTCAAATTAATAATAAATTCCGACAAAATTTAATTACATTTATTTGAGAATATTTTATTCTAAAAATAAAATTTTATTGATAAATGAGTAAAACCCTATTATAAAACCACAACATAAATTTCATAGTGGTGTATACAATTTCCCTATAATGTATTTAGTATTCGTGTATATGTATATATACTCGTATATGCATAAAACAAACTCTCTAAATTAGAATTAATTTCATATTCAAATAATAAAGAAATATATGCAATACAATATACATACATTCACACACAAAAGCCAAAATTATAAAGTGGAAATAAAATTTTTGTAATAATATTTATAATAGGTACCCAAAATCATAATAATTTTCGGAAAAAAAAAAAAAAAAAACAATTTTTTTTCATAAAATAAAAATATATATTTTAATTGGAAATATTTTTGATAAGATAAAAATCATATTTTAATTGCAATTTATTGAAAATCGTTTAATAATTAACAATAAATTATAAAATTTTAATGATAATTTAAAAAAAAAATCTTTTATCACCTTAATCTAATCGATCTTAACTTTTAATTAAAAAAATTATTATATAGGTACATACTTGAATTTCAGTCATTTTATAGCACCGTTTATTACTTTATTTTTATTAAACCAGTATTTTTCATAAAAAAAATTATTTTTGTAGGAACTAGAACAAAATTATTAATTCAAATCAAACACAAATTTATTAATAACAAAAATAACTAAATTACACAATACAAGTTAATTGTGTAATACGGTATGAGTGTGTTTCAGCAGCTATTCTAAATATTCTTCATATGTATGATTAACTGATTTATATACATACAACCAACCTAAAGTATTTTTTTCTTAGTTCTTATTTGAGTGCTCCGTGTATAATTCCAATCTAATCGGAATACTAGAATACTAGAAACTTATATGTAAGTAATATTAAAAATCTATTATATAAATAGCAGAAACTTATATAATATTAAATTTAGAAAAAATTATGTTTGACCATTTTAGAATTTTCTGAATTGTAAAAAGTTTTCTTGGATTATCAATTTGAAGACGGAAATTAAATTCAAATATTGTAAAATTTTTTTTTTTTGGGTTTCCCGCATTATTTGAATGTATGTAAATCAAAACAGATGTTGTATAATGTTAAGCTACACATTGTTCTCATATATGCGCTCTCACATACGCATGTAAGCATTGTAAAATAAACCTGTTTAGGCAATTATAATTAAGCATTTTGCAATTTTCAATAAGATATTTAGAGCACTTATATTTATTATGTTAGTATACGAACTAACATTATTATTTATTTTTATTATTTATGTATGTTAGTATACGAACAAGTTTTATGATTTTTTAACCTTTGAGCAATTTGTTTTAATAAGAACACGCAAAAACTTAATTTTTTTAAATTGCAATTTTTCAAGTTGTATTTTTTGCTATAAGAGTACAATCTTAAATCACTAAAATTTATTAATTTATGCCCATTTAGAAAATTATTGCGAACTAAAATGTTTTTGAAAACCAACAACGCATTCGTATAAAAATAGTCTTAACTTAAGTGACAATTTTTTTAGCTAATTTATATACCCTATTTATAATCTAAATTATATATGTAAAATAATGCAAAAATGCGAATCTAAAGTATATATAAGTGCATTCAAAGCTGATTGCTTTTAAATTGACACTATTTTTTTATGTAAATTTTTTTTTGCATATTTTATATTATAATCTATATAATTAAAATGTTCTTAACTGTTTTAAAGACAAATTTGATGCATATACACACATATTTAGTTATGCATATAATATACAATACAAAATATTTTATTTGGAAATTTCCCGCCGCATATTATTCATATAAAAGCATTTCAAAGTACTCGTATATTAGAAATTACCTATATTATAATACCTACGTACCTATACAAGTATGTATATAAAAGAATGCAATATCTTGTAGCGCAAAAATTTTTGTAATAATAATAATTACATAAGTACTTGTTTTTATATTGATATTATATTTTATGTGTATATTTATATATATGCTATGATATATATCAAATATATACATAATGCATATTTTATTATAATAGTAAAAATAAAAATAAAAAATAACAAAATCCCTATTGCAAAATTACATTCACAAAATACTTATATTATTTACATATAGTTATTTTGATTACAACGGAAGTATAAAAATATTACAAAATTTATAAGCAAGCAAAGGTACAAATGTATATATACAAACGTACATAATATACGTATGGTATATGTATTTAAATAAATAATGTAAATAAATTTATGTATATATAAAACAAAATGTGCAAGATTTTACTAAAATAATAATATAGATAATATGAAAATATACATATCCATATATATTAACGCATATATGAATGTAAATATAATTTAAATGAATAATTTATTGATGAAAGTCAAGATTTTATATTGCAAAATTATACAATATTATACATAGTCTTTTTATTTTTATATTAAGAGTACAATTATTCATATAAAATATCTTAATTTTGAATAAGTACAAACATAGATGTTAGTAAAAGAAAAATAAATTTAAGTATGAAAAATACAAGAGCTATAGGAATTTGAATTAAATATTTTTTAATCACTACTTACTTATTATACTCGTATATTAGTTATAATATTGTTATACTCGTATGAACAAAATGTTCAAATTGGTTTTTTAAAATTTCACTTTTCATATTCGAAATTTAAAGTGAGAACCTTCTAAAAAAATTTTTAGAAAAATTATAAATTATTTAAAAAATTTTTAATAATATACTAATCTCAATTAAATTCATAAATATAATATTAATTTTATACATTTATATTGTATATATCATATATAATAATTTTAAATATTTTTCTCACTTAAAACTCTCAATCAATATTGTTATTATAAATGTTCTCTAAAATAATAAAAGGGCACAATTTGATCCCTAAATTAAGGACATGTTAAGTAATAATTAAAAAACAATTTTTAAAATTTTTTTTTGTTTTTTTTTTATTCATACATATGTATGAAGTATAACACTTAACTCTATATCCTTAATAATTTTTTTTATTGTTTTCTTTTATGTACAAAATATTTACACACAAATTATTTATTATATAAAACTTTTATATTTACGTTATACATATATACATACAATATTCTTTAAATATATTTATTTAAAATTTTTTTTTTTTAATAAAATTAATTAAATTCATTTAATATTTTTTTTTTTAATTTTTTTTTATTATAACAAAAAAAAAATATTTTTCTCTTTGTATTGATTTTTCAATATTGTTTTATTTAAGAAATTCAAGTTTTGTTTTTTTCATACATACATTTATATATACATATATATTTTTATATACACATATAATATATTTCGGTTAAAACAAAAAAAAAACCCAAACACCAAAAATCCACGCTGTACAACCGAATCCGTTTACAGCACCTTAACGAATAAAGAAAATATAAAAGCTTTTTATTGTGTACAAAAAAATTTTTGAAATATATTTAAAGCTTTTTTAAAATTTTTTTTTTTTTGAATTCTGTAAAACAAAAGAATTGTTAATATTAAAGCTATAGCTGCATATATTATAAGCTTGTTGTAAAATTTTGTAAAAAACAATAACAAAATTTTGTTAAAAGCTTCTTTGATTTTGTAATAAAAAGGTTGGTTGAAAAGTTTTAAGATTTTTTTTGTAAACAAAAAAAACTGGCTATGAAATTGAATATTATATGTACAGGTGATAGCAATTTTATTGCAAAACGTGCATAGCGGATTACCTCTTACACAGTATAAGTATCTCTTTGATAACAATATTTTTTTCAAATTTATTATTTTCAAACCAAAGATAATTAGTAAATTCTCTCTTTCTTATTTCTCTCAGCTGAAGCAACTATAAACAAACGTCAGAATGCCGAATCGATTTCTCAAATTGACCGCTTTCTTTAAACGGCCTAGCTTCTTTATATCATCTATTCTTTCTGAGTTATTACACATATCCTATTTCTTCAAAACTAAAAGCATTTATTGAATAATAAATTATTCAATAATATACTGTTATTAATTTATACCTTAACTAAATTAATTTGCAATCTAATTTTTTAATTTTTGTATTAGGAGAATTTTCTTTAAAAATATTGCTTTAAATTTGCTCCTAAACATATGCAATGCAATATAAAAATAGAATAAATTATTATTTCAATAGAAAATTGTTTTTCATTATTTAAAATTTTAGTTGTTAATAGGAAATATGCTATTTTGTAAACTATGTAAAGATATTTATATATGTTAGAATAAACAATGTTATGATATTTAACACTTATCTACATTATATTTAACACAATAATAAACATTATTAATTCGATGACCTTACCCAATATTCATGTTTTCTTTATTATATTTTCTGTATTGTATAGAATAGATAAAAACAAAAAAGTTTTGCTTACAGCAATGTAAGATGAACAAAAGCAAAGGTTTTAGCTTTGTTCAGCGCTGCGTTCCAAAACAATAACAAAAAAGAAAAAGCTTTTATACTTACACAGTTAGTGTGTTATCTATAAAACTATGTAATTATGTATATTCTATGAATCATGTGGTTGATTTGTTAAAAAATCTTTTGTTTATTATATTCTTCGTTTTGAATTTTTTCTATTGCTGTCCGCAACCGTGACGCACCGGCATTTTAATTTATAACATAAATTATAATTATAAAAGTAAAAGCACAACAAATGTATGTTATATATTATGTACTTATATATATACTATGTTGACAAAATATATGTATATGCGCATTCTTTTGAAGCTTGTGTCTCTAACAGTTGATTGCGTATAAATGATTATGTATGTACGTATATTATACTTGAGTATATATTGTGCAAATACATTATTTTCATTTCTTTTGTAAACAATAGATCAGCCAACAAAAATAGGTTTACCTAAGTGATACGGTTATAATACTTTAGTATTTTTATTAATGAAAGTTTAATTTAAAAATCATTAATCAAAAACTCGTTATCATAATAAAAATAAGAAATTGTTTTAGTTATATTCACTATATCGTTATACCTAGACAGATTGTATAGGATTATTGTACACTGCATACATATGTAAGTACTTATTAAAAGCAAGTGTACATGCATTAGTAACACAACAGAGTTTGACTTAAAAAATATGTTTAAAATTTGCAAACTGAGATTTGCAAATCATCGAACAAAAAAACTTGCGTATTGTCAGAAATGAAGTTAATTAACAAAATCGTTTCTCTTTCCATACTTTTCATATTTTCTATGTTTTGCATGTGAGGAATTATGTTAAGTATACTCGAAGAATACCAAACTTTCTCAGACCTTATTATGTCAATAGAAAATCGTTTTTCATTATTTAAAACTTTAAACATCGAAAATGGCTATACGATTGAAGTACGATTTCCTTAATTCTGTTTTTTAGGTCAGGCGTCAGCGACACTTTTAACGAACAACACTTTTAACGAACACCCTGTGCAAATCACAAATTATGTACGTAATTTTATTTACTCTCTTTGTAAATGTCATTTTGTATATATGGTAATGTAGTTCAGAGTTCATGGTTTTATGATTTTATATACATGTGTTCTGCACATAGTTTTTTGCATGCATGATTATTTCCTAAAAATGAATGGGTGTGTTCAATATTCATAAACATACGAAATATGTCTAATTGAAAAATATTTCATTACTGAAAATTAAATAATATTATATGTACCTTGGGAAATTTAAATGTTTATACAAAAAAATAGGAAACAAAATCTACAAGTTCAAGTTTAATATTTAACTGTGGGAATACTTACAAAAATTTGAAGTAAATGATCGCAAAGCGTTTTAGAAAGAGTTTGAGTTAAAGAATGACGCGAATTTTAATGACCATAACTTGGATTTGTTTAGAAGTTACCGGAATTATTGAGAATCCTTCTTAAGTGAAAGCATTTTTGTTACTACTAGAATTTTACCCACTCGGAAAAAAGTAAAAGAATGAAAGCTGTTAACATTTTTAATTTAAAAACCTTTTAAATGGCAATGGATCATATATGGTTCTCATATTTGAAAATTTGTAAATTCACTGTCTAAATAAATTGTTAACATTGTAAAATTTTTATTTCAATTTCAAAGGTAATGTCATCTGAAATATTAGATACATACAATGAGCATTCTCGGCTCATTGTGAATCACCCATAAGTAGATTACAAATTCGGATTCAAGTACTTTATTAACAGTTTCGATCAAATACTAAAAATGTATAAATTTTTTTCATCCTAAAACTATGCAAAATCTCTTAAAGTACAGTTACAATTTAATTTTCTTTTCTTAAAAATATGCTTCTTACAAACTATTGGTTTTGTCTTTTATATTTTTTATGCAAGTTAATAAGAAGTTTTTTACTTATAGTTCCTTATAATTAGAATAATAAATTTTGTATATTAATATAATAATAAAATAAAGATAAAATTCTTCTTCCTGATTTGATCAAAATAAAATTCAATAAATCATAAAATTTTATTCAATTAATCAAAGCAAATTCTTATCCATTCCTTTTACGTAATAATTTAGTACGAACCACGTGTTTCACATTATTAACCTAATTAAATTTACAAGGTAATCGCAAATTTTTTGTCATGAATTTTATTGATATGTTTGTATTAAGCAGTCGGAAATAAAAAAAACTGAAATGAAATAAAGCATTCATTTAACGATAGGGTAGATTTCACTAAAATTTATAACCAAATTCTTATAAGATTTTCAATCTTAATTATTTTTTAAAGCTTACCGCCATCACTTTCACATTGATTTATAATTTAAAAAAAATCATAATAAAATTAAAATAATGATAAAATTTTTGAAGCGTTTGCATGGAGAAACTCAATGAAAATTGCCAGAACGGAGACTCGAGTATCGGAGAAGCTGACACATATAAAACTAATTTATGTCGTATGTTACACGCGTTTGTAGCAGAACATAATAGCGAATCAATTTGCCAAGTCAATTTTTGTTTTTGTCTGTAACTATTTTAACTAATTATCAGCGAAATTCGAATTGCAACTATCTCATTTTGTTCACACACATACCTTTTGTGTAATAGATTTGCAAACCAATACGAGGCCAGCTATGACAAATATTATTATGCTATACCCAGAAGCGTAAAATAGACTCGCTTTCAGTATTGAACCCAAATTTAAAATTTGCGATTTTCAATGTAAAAAAAAACCGACATAAATTTTAGAGTAACCGAATAATTTTGACAACATTTTTTATATTTTTTCCATATATTTTGAATATTATTAATTAATTAATAATTTAATAATATAATTTCGCCGATATATTAATTGAAAATTCAATATACCATACATTCTATTTCGATTTTGTCATTTACTCAAAAGTGTTATAAATCAAAAGTCTAACAAATTTTAAAATTCTTTTAATACTTCCATAAAATATTTAAGAATATACGCTTGCATAATTAACTATACTATGAGAATTTTGAAATATTTAAAAATTTTTATTTTTATTTTCAATATTGTAATAGGATTTACACAAATAAATTTAATAAAAAAAATTATTGAACAAGATAAAGAACTTAATTCAGCAGTTTTATTTATTGAAAAAAATTATCAAATTTATAGTGAACTTAATCAATTATATTATAAAATTTTTAATAATACATCCTTATCAATATTACCAATTTATAATGGTAATTTTAAAACTAATATTTTTAATAATTTTAATTCAAAATTTTTATTAATTTGTTTAATAGAAAGCAAACATTTAAAAAATTCATTAAATCGTATTGCAAACCTTATAATAAAAGATCGTCACGTCAAGGTTCTATTTATAATATATTTAACGGAATACTATTCCAAAATAGAATTAAATAATTTATTTTATAAGAATATTTTAGAAATATGTTTTAAAAATGGAATATTAAATTATTTAACAATATTTAAAAATGAAGAAAATAATTTTAACAAAACATTCAAAATTTATAGGACAAAACCATTTCCAGAACCTAAAATGGAAATATTAAATTTCGATAGTAATTTTAATCAAATATTATATCCAGATCGATCTAGTAATCTTTATGGTTATAAAATTAGAACTTTTTTGGTACCAACAGCTCCAAGAACTATTACTTACATTGACAGGTTAGTCGATTTCTTTTTGTCATATATGAAATTATTTTAATTCTTATTAATTAAAATTTTTCTTTTTTGCTAAAATTGTAGAAATGGTGTATTTAAATATGGTGGACCATTTTATCATGCTACTCAAGCTTTTGCTAAATATGTAAATGGTACAATTTATCAACCGATACACTATGAAAATTTTGATGATTTAGATGTAACGAAAATTAGTAATTTAATATGTCATTCTGGACACTCTTTTGATTTAGTA